TAGGAATCCGTCTCGGACCCTTCAGTGGGTTTCTACTCTTCTTTGCTCATCAGTGAAGGTAACCAGAGCCGTGACTATATTTATCTACCTATGCTTGGTGTGCAGCTGCGTTGAGATTTCCAATACTCGGGGAAATTTATTCATCATCCATCTTGTTTTCGGAAGAAATTTCTGTTTAGATCACAAGTAAATGTATATCGAATTCGTAATGTAGAGAAATCATAGCTACTTTTTAAGACTTGTAGTTTATTTTTACGAACGAGAGTTCAGAGAAGATGATTCTTTGAAGTAGTAGAATGTTTTATTTATGCATAAAATCTGTGCTACGTCAACTCTTGAAAAAAACTACACAATTTAATTTGGTATTTTCAGGTAATCCTCGCTGTACATGTCCACATCCCCCCAACTACTGCCCTCCAAGTCGCCGTGCAAGTATCCAAACTACCCAAATAGTCCGACATCCCTCCCTCATCTCTCATTGTACCAGCGTTCCTCCTGTAATTTACGAATATCCACTGCGTTCAAGCTATGCTCCGTCGTATTCATCTCGTCCTTCGCTTCCTCATTTTCATCCAGCACCCCACTATCCACCTTATCGCGGGTATTACGGTGGTTTTCCTGAACCTGAACGGAGGTAACGATGCAGAGTTACTAAAACATGATGTTGTTCATTATCTCAACTAATGCAGACACGCCCCTTCTGTCCCTCCCAGTGCGATGCCTTCTATGTCTTCGCAGAAAAGTTACTACTCTCCAAGGTTTTACTCCGCTCGAATTTTTTATCCAGGTTACGATGGTAGATCTCCCGAAAATGCTATGCGACCAGTTTGTAAGTTTTATCACTCTCATGATGAAAGGAGAAGTCATTGAAGTACGCAATATTTTAGATCATCTACGAGCATACCCAAAGCAGCGCTCGCAACTCTTTGTGGTGAGTGAACGCTAGCCATGCTTGAAAAATAATACATAACTTAGTTTCTTACCTTACATGCCATTTTCTAAGAGTTAAGGCGGAGTACGAACACTTAGAACGACTTCATCGTTATCCTATCATTAAAGCTGCCTGGAGTCTACCGTCCTTCAAACCTTACTACTCTGTTGTTTATTTAAGAAATTACCTACAGAGTATGATAT